GCCGTCCCCCGCGCCTTTCCCACCTACGGAGCTTCCACGATTCACATGAACCGCCTTCGCAAGCTCCATCGGCAACTTTGCGAGCTTCGCTTCATCGGACAGCACCATCATATGGACTGCCGTGCTATCCCGCCGCACCTGGCGCAACGCATCGACTGCACGTGGACCGCGGCCCGCCTTCTCTGCCACAAGCTGCGCCCCACGGCCCTCCTGGCCTTTCCTGACGCCTGGACCCCCGACGTGCCAGCACCACGCGGAGAGCACCTAGATCGTCTGATCCAAAACCTAGACTCGGAGCTGGCGCGACGTGCAAACCGAGCCAAAGCTGAACGCATCAAGATCTGGGCTGAGGGTGTCCGCGAGCCAAGCGGGCGAAAGGCGGCCATATACGCACGGGCTGCCGACTGCTCGCCCACGGCGTATCTCCGCACGCCTACCACTCCCGACGATGCACAGCTCCACTGCGACACCACCGCCTTCAACCCTGACCAAGCTAGCACGGACGATAGTGACGCCGACACCGACGCCGGCGGCTTCAGCCCCAGCGACGGTAGTTCGCTCGACACGGACAACGACGACGGCCACACTCGTGGCCCACCACCTGCCCAGGTTCCCGACGCCCTCCCCGCCAACGCTATTGTTGCCAACACCAAAGACATGCTTAAGCTCATGGTCGACACCTGGGAGCCCATCTTGGGCAGGTACCGCGCTCGCGCGGGCCATGACGCCGAAGCTATGCCGACGTGGGCGGACTTCTACGACGAATACCGCCAAGAGCTGCCTACGCCATCACCAGCAGCCCCCTTCCACCTCACCGACGACCAACTCATCCACTTCATTCGCACCCGTTCACCGCGCCGCGCGGGGGGACTCGACGGCTGGACAACTAAGGAGGCTAAGGAGTTACCCGACGACATCCTTCGCCTCTTCGCCAGCGTCTTACGTGCTATGCAACGCACTGGCACCATCCCCGAGCCCCTCCTGCACGTGCCAAACCCGTGCCTCCGAAAAGGCCGAGGGGAACTCCCGACGGACCAACGACTTCTCTCGGTTCTTTCCGTGTGGATGTATGCGTGGGAAGCGCCGGCCTACCGTAGCCTCACGACCTGGCGGCAAGGATGGACCCATGCCACGAGCTTCGGCGCTGTTCCCAAAGCCACCATTGGGGATGTCAGCACCTCTCTCGCCCTGCGCATCGAACACGCCAGGACTTTACTCCTCCCCTTAGCTGGAGCTGCCCTTGACCGACAGAAGTGCTTCGACTACCTCATCACGGACATCTGTCTAAACCTTGCGCTGCACGCGGGGTGTCCACAAGACATCGTTACTGTCCGCCGAAATTTCTACAGACACCACAAACGCTACATCCGCATGAACGGAGCGTACTCCAGGGACCTGGCCAGGACAAACGGTCACCTCCAGGGCAGCTCGTGGTCCCTGGATGACATCAAGCTGCTCATGTGCGTGTGGACAAAGAGGCAGCACCGATACGTTCCTCGATCACTCAGCACTACCTTCGTTGACGACAGCAACTCCACTACCCACACCGCTTCTGAGCTGCAGAAATCTCTCGACGAAACCGCCAAGTTTGATCGATTCTCAGGTCAACGCATTCACCCTGGTAAAGTGGCAGGGTGGGCGCTCACCGACGAGCTTCACGCCGCCGTTACCCAGCTCACACTGGCGGATCGCCCCCTACGTGTGGTCGATTCCTTCAAGCTCGTCGGGAGTTACATCAACGCAGAGGCAGCGCCGGCTCCAGCCGCGCTTAACCTCACGGCCACCGCAGACGCCCGTGTACGGAGGGCGACTATCCGCCTGCCGCGCATTGGCAAGCTCCCGTCGCCGATGCTTATCAAGGCGCGGCACGCCCGATCCCTGGCTGCCAGCGTCTGCACCACGGGCACCGACATTCAAGCACCATCAGGCCCAGCCAAGACTGCCTACAACCACGCCCTCAAGGCGGCTATCCGCCCCAAGGGGAACAAGTGGGTCGAGTTCTGGACTCTCATGGCCGTGTGCGTGCCGGGACACGCCCTTGAGATCGACGCCATCACGCAGCGTGAAGCATTCCTGTGCCTGCGGCGACAGGTTAACCGCGACGTTACACTCTGCGGGCTCGCCAGAGACCTCCAACACCACGTCCAGACCCTGTTTGGTGGAGGACCCGTCGGACGACTCGTCCAGTCGCTCCAGCAGCTCCGATGGACCTGGCCCACATTTGGCATCATGTACGACGACTGGGGCTGCCCGATCAGCTGGCTGAATTTACCCCAAAACGCCTTCCTGCACATGCTGCGGGCCTCACAACGCAGGGCATTTCTGCGGAGGATCAAGCCACGGCGACACGACCTTGGCTACCTCGCCTCTGTCAGACAGGGCCTTGACCTCTTCGCCAGCACGTGGCTCGCGCGAACTAAAGGAGCAGCCAAATGCACTGCCTGGCAGCTGGCGCTCCTCCTGAACTACCTGTCGGGCGGGGACCACACCCAACAGCGACGATCCCGATCAAACACGTCGGCAGACCCCAGCCCCATGTGCCGCTACTGTGACGAGGAAGAGGAAACTCAGGAGCACACTGTCCGCGACTGTAAGTGCTGGGCCCGAGAAAGACTCCCTCTCACCACCCTCATCAGTGACGACCAGTGGGCCCGTCTTCCGCCGCACACAAGACACTGCGGGCTCTTCGACGAAGACCCAGCCCTCCTCGACCTGCAGGCCGACCTCGCGAGGGACCCGCTGCCACAGCCCATTCCGCGGCCCTCCCCAGATGGTGATCCTGCGGCTTCAGCCCAAGACACCTACACCACCTACCTTGACTACGACACTGGTTGGACATGGGTCTATGCTGCCACGGACGGTGCGTGCACCAACCAAGCCATCCCATTGCTAGCACGAGCGGGTTACGGCGTCTACTACGGCATCGATCACCGCATGAACTACAGTGCATCACGGCCTAACGCAGAACGCCCAGGTTGCGGAGACCCTCGCCATTGTCCACCTTACGGCATGTGCCGAACGGCCCGTGCACGTTTTCGTGGACAACCAGGCGGTGGTCGATGGGTTCCAAAGCATCATCGACGGACATCCAGCGCCGCAGGGCACGCACGCGGAGCTCTGGGAAAAGATCCACCGATGTGTTATGGCCAAGCCCAACATGTTTCGCGTCGAAAAAATCGCCAGCCACCTGGGAGACCTGGGCATCGACCTTGGGCTCATCGGGCCCATCGCGGAGGAGTTCAACCGTCAGGCCGACGCCCTTGCCACAGCGGCGGCACGCACGCACAACCTCCCCGACGACATTGTTGAAGCTGCCAAAACACGACATCGCCAAGCGACCGTGCTTCATGGGGTCGCTGTCGCTATCTACGAGCGCAGACACCGTACTCTGCCGCTCCCACACCGCAGGGCTGGGTTTACAGCAGCGGAACTCAGCAAAATGGAACCGAACCCCCTGCTGTCGGACCAGGCACCACCCGCGGCTGGACCATACATCCCGCAGAACCCGGATGAGCTCTGGGCCGAGGCCCAACGGGCGATGCACGACGAACAGGAGGACGACCCTGTTCGGCTTCGGCGGGGGATTAGACTTCCTGGACGACGGGCCAGCCAGCGCCAACCCTGCCCCGTCGGGCAGCCTCTCGACGCTCACCTCGACTCCGCCACCGAGAGCGACATCGCACCCACATGATGACGTCGCTCACCGTCAAGACGCCGACGAGGACCTTTATGATCCCCTCGGATTGAGTGGCAACATAGACGACGCCCCGCCGACACCCCACGCTGCCGACGATGCCGCTTCATCGAGACGTCACCCGACCACGCGGCCGACCTCCGAGCCCTCGCACGGCATCATGATTGGCCCCCCCGTGCCACCCACCCCGTCCCCCCACCAGCGCCAGCCCGCGGGGGCGGCTCCAGCCCCCCCGCAGGGCACTGAGCCAGTCAGGCCGTCGCACCCCGTCCACGCTTTTACTGTTGCTGGGTGCGAGGCTGCGGCTCCTCCGTCCTCACGGGGCGTGGCCCTAGCGGCTTCAGCCCTGGGACCGCGCGTTACCCTCCAGTCGCCTCACAAGGGCGACGGCCGCCAGCACACGGATCGCCGCACCGCGCTGGTCCACCACCTGGCCAGGCGCACCGATGACCTCGTCCCCGCCACGAGGCCCGCGGCCGCAGGCACAGAGCAGCCGCCCCTCACCGACCGCGAAGCCGAGCTGTCCCAGTCTATGGCCGCTCTTCAGCAGAGGTGTGCTGCTCTCGCCGCCGACCTTGCCGCTGCTCAAGCCCGTCAAGGCCCTCTGCTCCAGCGCCTCCACCGCGCCGGGCGTGCCTTCGCCGAGCTGCTTACACGCCCTCGCCCGATGGTGCTGCGCCGCCACTCACCCTCCATGCTATGCTGTCATCGCTCCGCGGCGCTCCGCCTGGAGCCCCGCGCTAATCTCCGCCATTCTGCCTGCCCGTGTGCACGCGTGGCCCCGCGTCCACGGTGTCAGGGCGTGGGGGCGGGGGGTGCCCCGTCCCTGCGCGCCGCGTTGCGGCCAAGCGCCCAACTGGCGGTCTGCCAAGCCGCCTAGCCACGTGTCAGCACGTCGCCTTTCTTGTTGGGGCCTTCTTCGTCACGCGGTCTGACACGTGAGATCTTCACTGTCTGTCCGCCGTCTGTAGCGTCAGTCGCATTGCGCCGGGGGAGGGGGTTTGTTGCCCGCCCTCGTATCTCAAGGCTGCACCGCCGCAAATAGTGTTTGGCGGGTTGTCGCACCGCAGTGCGCCTCGCGGACGGACCCTGGTCCGCCTACTTGTCCGGTCTCTCTCTCTCTCTCTCTCCCCTTTCTCTCCCCCCTTCTCCCCCCCCTCCCCTTTCTCTCTCCCCCCTCGCCTTTCTCGCCCCCCTCCCGTTTCTTCCCGTCCTTTCGCCCTCCTCCCCCTTCCTACTTCACCCCCCTTTCTCTTCTTCTTCCTCCTCCTCCTCCTCCTCCTCGAGCTCGGGCAGGCCCAGAAGCCTTGTCCAGGGCCGCCGCCAGCGTCTCGTAGGACTGAGTGAAGTCGAACAAGAAGTTCATCGCGCAGCCCTGCAAGTCCGGGAGGAGGAGGAAGGACTTCCTCCTCTCCCCGAGCATCCACGTTAAACGCGGTCACACGGCCAGGAAATAGTTCAGCAAATACGTGGCTGGTTTCGGCGCCGCAGGGCGCCACCAGAGGAGTGGTATCGCATGCATATTACGGACATGTATATCCACGTGCTGTCCAAAAGCCGACTGTTCCTGGAGGGAGGTTTTGACAGTGCGCGGCACCAACCAACATTCTGAGGCAGGTCAAAGTTCGGTGGGCGGACCCCTTACGTGAAAGGGGCATGCGCCTCAGTCTCCCCCTCCCCCCCCCCCGATGTTTTAGCCACCTGCTGCAGAGGCAAGCCCTTCCGAACGCACTCCCCCTGGCACGAGGTATATCTAATTTTAACAAAGAATGTATGCCGAGCCTGGCGGCGGGTGAAGAGGAAGGGCACGGAGGAAGGATGAGGGATGAGGAGGAGGAGGAGGAGGAGGAGGAGGAGGAGGAAAAAGAGTATTGCATTTCCGGGTCGGGTCTTCCTGGGGGTCCTTTGGAGCTGTTTGGGGCCGTCTTGGGGCTATCCTTGGCCGCCCCGGGACCCTCTCGGGCCGTTTTTGGTGGGCTTGGGCCGTCTTGGGGCTATCTGGGGCCGCTCTTGGGGACCTCCTGTGGCCTCCTGTGGCCCTCTTGGGGCTCTCTTGGGAACCGTGTGGGGCCCTCTGGAACCCGTCTCGGGCCGTCTTCGGCCGTCTTGGAGCCCTTTTGGGCCAACTTGCAGCGCTCTTTGGAGCCTCTCAGGCCGTCCTGGGGCGGTTTTGGGAGCCTCTTGGGCCGTCTTGGACATCGTGAAGACCAAAGAAGCTACTTACTATGTTAACGATGCACGTCTTCCGAAGGGAATGGGAAGATGTTTGCCTCTTGGGGGTCCCCTTGAGGGCCTCCTGCGGCGTCTTGGGGGCCTCTTGGGCCGTCTTGAAGCCATGTTGGGTCCTCTTTGAGCGCTCATGGGCCGTCTTCAGGCACTCTTGGACCTCTCCGACGCCGTCATGGAGGTAGCTTGGGCGCTCTTGGGGCTGTCTTGGGCCGTCTTGGGGGCCTCTGAAGCGCTCACTTGGGCCGTCTTGGGCCGGAAATGACACGGGGACGGAAAACGAATTCACTTTCAGAGCGCGAGAGGTCGCTGGCCTGCCCGTTCCTTTTCTCTGACTCCCCGTCTGGAGGCTCTCTTGGGGCATCTTGGCAGATTAGGCGCCTGTAGGGCTATCTAATAGCCGCAGGAGGCATCTTGAGGGAGAACTGGGACGTGTTGGTATCTTGGGAAGGAACTAGGCAGCAGGAGGCCTCTTGTGGGACGCCGCATGTCGAGAACCCCGCGCTTCCCCATATTGGGCCGCCCGCTGCCCGGATGTCGTGTTATCTCCGCTTGGGCCGCCCAATGTCCAGAACCATGTGTTTTCCCCGTTCGGACCGCCGACTGCCCGAATGTCGTGTTTTCCCCGCTTGGACCGCCGATCGGTGCTCGGAAGGAAGTCAATGTATTGTTTCCCCGTGTGTACCGCCCATCGGTGCTTGGAGGGAAATCAATGTGTGTATTCCCACATGCAGGAGGGCGCGAGAGAGCATGCCAATTGCATTGCAATGTTTTCCACGTTTGGATCACCCACTGTCCTGAACTATGCGTTTTCCCCGTTTGGACCGCCCGCTGCCCGAATATAGTGCTTTCTCCGTTTGGACCGCCGATCGGTGCTCGAAGGGAAACCGATGTGCGTTACCCTATCGGGCCCTCCTGGGATGTATTGGGCCTCCCTGTGTCGTTTTGAAGCAGCATGACGGCAGCTCGGTGCATGTCGGGCGAATTCGGAAGCCTGTTGGGCCCTCTTGAAGCGGTCGTGGAAGCCATGTTGGGGCATCTTACACTTACGAAGAGATTGCGCGCTTACGCGGAACTTACGCGGAGCTTACGCATGAAGACTCGAGAAATGAGAGAACGCGTTTCACGGGCGCTTGCCTTGGGAACATTCGGCGGCGCGTTTCAAACTGGGGGGACCGGGGCCCCCCTCCAACACTCGGCGCCGTCGATCAAAACCAGGGGGACTCCCCTCCTCCCCAACCCCCTCCCTCCCTCTCAAACCCCCCCCCCCTCGGCGCCGGCGCCGGAGCCGGCGCTAGCGGCCGCCAGCAGCGCCCACGGCGGGGACGCAGCGACGATGACCAGAGGCAGCTCAGGGGGGGAGGGTTCAACCCCCCCTCCCTCGCGCCGGCCCCGGCGCTCGCGGCGGCCAGCAGCGCCGGCGCTGGCGCCAGCGACGGCGGGGACGCAGCGACGACTACCACCACTACCACCACCACCGCCACTACCACCACCACCATCGCCTCTCCACCACCACCACCAACAACAGCACCACACAACCACCACCACCACCACAGCCACCACAACACACCACCACCACAACTCACGATCACCACCACCACCACCACAAAAAAAACCACCACCACTACCACCACCACCACCACCACAATCTACCGCACAACCACCACCACCGCCACAACCACTACCAGTAGCACAACCCACCGCCACCACCACAACTCACCACCACCACCACCACTGCCACCACCACCACCACCACAACAAACGTCCACAAACCACCACCACCACAACCCACCACCACCACCACAAACCACAACCACACCACCACCACACCACCACAACCACCACCTCCACCACAACTCACCATCACCACCAGCACCACAAAAACCCACCACCACTACCAACCACCACAATCTACCACACCACCACCACCACCGCCACAACCACCACCACTACCAGCAGCACAACCCACCACCACCACCACCACAAACCACCACACCACCACCACCACCACCACCAGCACCAGTACCAGCACCACCTCCACAAACCACCGCCACAACCACAACCCACCACCACCACCACCACCACCACAAACCACCACCACACCATCACCACCACAACCACTACCACACCACCACCGCCACCACCACCACCACCACCACCACCACCACCCACCGCCACAACCACCACAACCACAACAAACCACCACACCACCACCTCCACAACCACCACCACCGCCACCACCACCACCACCACCACCACCACCACCACCACCACTACAACCCACCACCACCACCGCCACCACCACCACCGTCGTCCTCGTCGACGCTCCCCGCCACCGCCGCCCGCCGCCGCAGGCGCCGGCCGGCGCCGGCCCAGAAATGGAAATCGTCCTCCCCGCCGCCGTCGCCAGCCGCCGCCGACGCAAGCGCCAGCCCGAGGAGAGAGGAAGCAGGGGGGGAGGGGGGGGGGTCCGGTTCCAAACCACTCCCCCTCCAAGCGACCACAGAACGCGCTCTTTCCGAGAAATGCACGACGCTTGCATCTCCGTGTTTCCTCCGTTCGGACGGCCCGCTCTCGAAAACGATGTGCTTTCCCCATTTGGACCGCCCACGCCAGGAAGCCGACAAGGCGGAACCCGAAACACCTTCAAAAAACACCCGAACGTCAATGCATGGTACCTCTTTGGGCCCTCTTGGGAAGCCTCTTGGAGGCCTCTTTGGGCGTCTTGAAGGCCTCTTGGACCGTATCGGTAGACTCTTGACCTCTCATGGGCCGTCTTGGAGGTACCTTAAGCTGACGAGGAGCTTACGCGCTTAAGCGGAGCTTACGCGTAGCTTACGCGAATTTACGCGGAGCTTACGCGGGCTGGGGCACCCAAGACGGCCGAAGAGGCATCCAAGACAGCCTAAAACACTTCCAAAATACAATGAGCTTATACTCTTGGGGGTCCTCTCGGGGGCCGCTTGGGGTGTCTTGGAGGCCGCTTGGGCCGTATTGAAGCCATCTTGGGCTATCTTGGATCGCTCTTGGGCCGTTCTCGGGCCCGTCTGGGCCTCTTGTACGCCGTCTTGGAGGTACCTTAAGCTGGCGAGGAGCTTACGCGCTTACGCGGAGCTTACGCGGAGCTTTACGCAAAACTCACGCACCCATCAACAAGGAATTTCATGTTAACGAGGCCCTGACCCCGCTCAGGCACCCGTTAACAGGGAATTGGCATGGAACGTCATGTTAACGAGGCCCTGATCCCGCTTGGGCACCCGTTAACAAGGAATTCTGGGCATTTTCCCTGTTAACGGGTGCCTGAGTCAGCTCAAACACCCGCCTTTCCATGTTAAAAGCTCCGTTAACATGGAAAAAGAGCCATTAGATCTGGGGCTACAGATGCCACCCCCTCTAACTCCGACTAGTTTATTCCTTCCGACTAACGGACCGCACGCTACGCGCGTTTTCCGTCATCCGCGCCTGTTTTGCCTACCCCCGCCACACACACACACACACCCGTGTTATTTCTCCCGACTGACGGATCGCGACGCTACGCGCGCTTCCCGTCATCCGCCGCCCCCTTTTGGTTTGCCACAGGGGTGCCCGGCGTGCTGAACCCTATACGATTTGGTTTTGGTTCTTTTGCTTAAGAACTCCCCCTGGGCTTCGGCACCGCGCGCCAGCCACCCGAAAACCCGCCGAAAAAATACACTCCGCAAGTTTTCTTTTCCAAGATGGCCCCAACATGGCCTCCAAGACCGCTGAGATGGCCCAAGATGGCCTCCAAATTCGCCCAAGATGGTCCAAGATGGCCTCCACGACGGCTCAAGAGGGTTCAAGATGCCTCAAGTCCGCCCAAGAAGCCTCCAGGAGGGCCCAAGATGGCTCCAAGATGGCCCAAGATGTCCCAAGAGGACCCCCAAGAGGCCTCCAAGACGGCCCTGGAGCACTCCAAGAGGGCCCCAAGTCGGCCCAGAGAGGCCCCAAACACGGCTTCCAACGGCGTCAGACGGGCAAGGATGCCACGAAGACGGCCCAAGATGGCTCCAAGATGGCACAAGATGGCCCAAGAGGCCCCCAAGAGTTCTCCAAGACGGCGCAAGAGGCCTCCCAGAGGGCCTCCAGGAAGGCCCGAAGAGGCCAGCTTCGTTGATTGTCCTTAGATGTTTGACGGATTTGGGCATTTGCTTCTCTTCGGCCTTCCGACGGCACCCGAGACGGCCCAAGAGCACCCAGAGATCGCCCCAGAATGGCCAAAGCGGCTCCCAAGACGGCCCCAAGGCGGCCCAAAAGGCCTCCAAGACACGCAATATTGACTACAAGACAGCCCTGAAGCACTCCAAGAGGGCCCCAAGTCCGCCCAGAGTGGCCCCCAAGACGCCTTCCAACGGCGTCAGACGGGCGAGGAGGCACTGCCCAAAATGGCTCCAAGATGGCTCCAAGATGGCCCAAGAGGCCCCCAACAGGCCTCCAAGATGGCCCAGACGGCCTCCCAAAGAGCCTCCAGGGGAAGGCCCGACAAGGCCAAACTCATTGAAGGTCCTGTTGTTTGTAGGAGTTTAGCATTTGCTTCTCTTCGGCCTTCCGACGGCCCGAGACGGCCCAAGAGCCCCCCAAACATCGCCACAAGATCGCCCAATAGACCTCCAAGATGGCCCCAGAATGGCCCAAGCAGCCCCCAAGACGGCCCCAAGGAGCCCCAAGAGGCCTCCAAGACGCCCAAGATTGCCTCCAAGACGGCCCTGGAGCACACCAAGAGGGTCCCAAGTCGACCCAGAGAGGCCCCCAAGACGGCTTCCAACGGGTGAGGAGGTCACCAAGACTGCCCAAGATGGCTCCAGGATTGCCCATGCCGGCCCAAGAGGTCCCAAAGAGGTCTGCAAGACGGCCCAAGAGGCCTCCCAGAGGGCCTCCAAGGAAGGCCCGAAGAGACCAGCATTATTGATTGTCCTTAGGTGTTTGAAGGATGTTGGCATTTGCTTCTCTTCGGCCTTCCGACGGCCCGAGACGGCCCAAGAGCCCTTAAAGATCGCCCCAAGATCGCCGAAGAACCCTCCAAGATGGCCCCAGAACGGCGAAGAGGCCCCCAGAACGGCCTCGCGAGGGCCCCAAGGCGGCCCAGGAGGCGGCCCTGAAGAGGGCACCAAATCGACCCAAAGAGGCACCCAAGACGGCTTCCGACGGCGTCACACGGGCCAGGAATGCCTTAAGACGGCCAAAGGGGCCCTCGAGAAGCCCCCAAAGCCCCCAAGAAGAAGAAGAAGAAGCCCAAAAGGGCCCCCAAGATGCCTCCAAAAGGCCTTGCAGGAAGCTCCCAGGAGGCCCCAAGAGTGGCCCCAAAGGCTCCCAAGATGCGCCCTCCTCCTCCTCCTCCTCCTCCTCCTGATCTTCCCAGCCATCCTCCCGCAAGTGCTCCCTGAAGGGTGTCCACAACGGGTGGGGGAACACATGGTCCGATAGCTTGGCAGAGCTGTTGCCGCAACGCTCGGCCACATGGGCGATTCAAAAAGGCAGGGGGCGGCGGTGATTCGCCGTAGGCGCCTTCGATCATTGGATCCGCTGGTTACCCTACCACGGGAATCGAATCCGTCTGAGATTCACATGCGATCCACGATCCTGTCGTACAGCCGTGACGAGATCCCATTGGGTCCGTTGGATGTCGATGCGATTTGCAAATACTTTCGGCCTGGGCATGGCGCGCCCGAGCACTTGTGCGATTCATTCGTAGGGGGCAACGTTGTAATGCTGATGCTAGGACCCACTGCGGCACGATCTCTGACCAGAGGGAATCACAACCGATGTCCAAAACACATTGCGTTCGCTATCTTGTCCGTGCGCACTCTTGCGAAGACTACCAACTCTTACCTTCTGCTGAAAGCCTGTCACCACTCATCCATCCGAAATCTCCTCTCGCTAATCCAATTTGCTGCAGCCACCCCTGCTCCCAAGGCGGAGGTGTCCACATAGTGCTCGAAGGGTAAGTCGAGTGGGATCTCGATGCAGCCCTGCCACAGAAGGAGGCCAGGAGAGGGAGAGAGAGAGAGAGAGAGAGAGAGAGAGACAGAGAGGCTGAAAGAGAGAGATCGAGAGATATAGGCAGAGGGAGAGAGAGAGAGAGAGAGATAGGGAGATATCTATATATATAGAGAGAGAGAGAGAGACGAACACACACAAAAAGAAAGAAAGTGAGAGACAGAGAGTCAGAGAGACGGAAATATAGAGAGGACAAAATAAGAAAGAGAGAAAGAGAGAGAGAGAGCGAGAGAAAGATATATATATATATATATATATATATATATATATATAGATATGGTATTTACGTCTATGTAAATAGAGAGAGAGAGAGAGAGAGAAAAAAAAACATAAATAAATACAGAGAGGGAGAGAGAGAGAGAGAGAGAGAGCGAGAGAGAGAGAGAGATAACAAACAAGCAAAAACAAAAAAGAGAAAGAGAGAGAGAGAGAGAGACGGTCAGGAAATCCGTATCAATTCTGGCTCCCGGCCATGAGGCGCCCGACGACCGCGAGTCCGTCGCGGGCGCCGTCTCAATGCGGGGAGTCTCGCAAACCGAACCTGAAATCTTTTGTTTCGGTCACTTGCTTTCGTTTGCATTTCCTTTCAATCAGCAACGCTCTTGCTCGAATGGATGCCTCAGGGCGGCAGCAGCGGCACCTGCTCCGTGGGAGAAAGCAAGCGGCGGTGGGCGCGCCGGTGGTGGCGGCAAGGTCGGCACCAGGCTTCCCTGGCACTGCAACTCCTGCGACAAACCCGACAGCGCCGGGCTCAGGCGCTACATCTTCGAAGGCAGGCTCGGCTGCAAGTGGCGCGGGCTTTCCCAGTCCACGCCCTTCGACGGGAAGCCGCCCTCGGCCTGCCCTTCCCCAAACGGACCTCAGAAGCCGGCCGGCCTGCTGCGGGCGCTGGCGGAGATGGCGGAGATGGCGTGGCTGTCAGAGGCAGGCGCATCCAGCAGCTCGAGCGCCAGACCGCCGAGCTCCAGCGGCCCCACTCCGGGCATGGCCGGTGGCGACCGCTCCCCGGGTCAGCAGGCTCCCGGGGAAGCCGGCGCACGCAGCGCTGCAGCGTCCAAGGCGAGGCCTGCGCAGGTCGACGCGCACCTGGCCAGCCTGGAACATGTCGAAGACCCCGACGGAGATGCCAGGCGCAAAGAGCTGGAGGCGGAGCAGGTCGCGCTCCGGAAGCAGATCGTCGAAGCCAGACCCGAGGACCAACAGCTGTGGGCCTGAAGGGAGCGCGTCGGAGAACTGATGTCGGGGTTGCTTCAGCCTTCGGGCCGAAGCTAACTCCTTGGAATTCTGGCCCTGTCTCGCCGTTTAAAGCGGCCAGCTTCCAGCATTAGGATATTGAATCCAGTCGTGGCGACGTTAGCGACAGGTTCCCCTACCGCGTCGATCCTCGAGGCTGGAAGCTTCCGTCTGCTATGCGACGGAAGGGAGAGAGTACCGTGCGCAGCGGCCGCGCGCTTTTTGGACGCCCGCCTCGTCAGCCAAGAAGCTGCGGGCGGCGGGGCCTCGCCTCTCAATCCTCGGAATGGGGGAACGGCAAGAGGGGGGGGCGGGGAGGAGGCCGAGACGGACCAAGGACCTCCCAGGGCCTAGCGGGGTTGCCGCTCAAAAGTAAAGCGCGCCGACTTCGAGGGGTAAAACGCAGGCTCCGCATAAGAACTCCAAACCGAAGGCTCTTAGGTTCAGACTGCACCCTGGGCCTCCTCCCAAGAAAAGGAAGACAGAGGAGGCCCATTACTATAAGAAAGAGACGCACAACTTTCGGGAGGGGGGCGAGCGCGGGAAAAGACGCCAGCCCCCATCAATAGTTCCGCTTCGGAGACTTTGTGAAGTAGCTGGCAACGTACCTCTTCCAGGCTTGGACCTGGACCCCCGTTCGCGCCCAAAAAGGGCCACAAATCCACGAACTGAATCCAGTTCGCCGTCCTGGGCGCCCTCCAGACGGATCTAGTCCGCGCCCAGAAAGACCAACATCCACGAACTGCATTCCAGTTCGCCGTCCAGGTTGCCCTCCAGACGGCGAACTGGTTTCCAGTTTGTGGCCAAAAGGCAAGGCACCAACATCGACGAACTGGATTCCAGTTCGCCGTTCTGGGCGCCCTCCGGACGGCGACCTGGATTCCAGTTCGCGCCCGAATTAGATGGCCCAACATCCACGAACTGGATTTCGGTTCGCCGCCCTGGGTGCCCTCCAGACGGCGACGTGGACTCCAGGTCAGTGCGCCCACTGTGCCCCCGAATCCACGAAATTGATTCCAGTTCGCCGCCCTGGGCGCCCTCCAGACGGCGAGCTGGATTCCAGTTCGCCCAACATCCACGAATTGGATTCCAGTTCGCCGTCCTGATCGCCCTCGAAATGTTGAGCTGGAATACAGTTCGCACCTGGGAGGCACCACCGTTGACAAAGTGGATCCCAATCGACTTTTCTCACGAACGGATCCATACTGGGAGCACTCGTGGAAGTACGTAAAACAGAAACGACAGTGAGAGCACCTGTGCACCCACTGGAGGGTCTGGTGCGCGAGCACGAGTGCATTTTCTGTTTCCACTGGTGGATGCCCATGTAACGCCACTGATAGCCCACAATTGGAAGCAGAGTGGGTCCACTCGAATGGAAGGGTTCGGTTCTGGCGACCATGGTCAAGTTCCGCTCCGTGGCCTCCGCTTCCCTCTCATCCCCCTCCTCGCCCTCCTCGTCCTCCTCCTCCTCCCCATGCTGCTCCTCCTCCCCCTCCTCCTCCTCCTCTTCTTTTCTTTGGACAGCTACGCCAATGCCTCGCAGTGATGACGCTTCCTGCTCGAGGCTCAAGCAGGCGCCGAGGAGCTGTGCTCCTCACAGCAAGGAAATAAAACCGTCAATGTCAAACGTGACCTGATCCTTATCAGGATGCAAGCCTTTTTTAAGCTTGCGCATGATGCGCATTGACGTGATGGTGGGCTGGCCACACACCTTGCCGAGCTTGATAATATGCGATCCACTGCTGTAGAATTTGCAGCTCAAGCTAACGACAAAGAAAAGACTGGTCAGAACACGGGAAGGCCACGACCTTGTGTCCTAACCTGAGCAGCACGCCTTGGTCCAACCTGGAATGCCCTGGGCAATCCACAGGAAGCGGGAGCCGCGCGCGAGAGCCCCTAAGGCAACCGCGAGCCTGCCAGAAGGACCCAATCTGCACCCACGAGTGGCCAACATCCAGGAAGACTTTCAGAGCGGCGGGGGCAGGGACGGACCTGGCGGTGCCCCGAAATTCAAGTCGCGGCCAAAGTGGCAACAACTGCGAGCCAGCGATGAGAACCAGACGGGCAATCTGGATACGCCTGTCGAGCTCGTCAGCTTCAACAGGAGTAAGGGTGGGGTGCACGCTAGCCCCCTCTTTGGCAGCCAGGTCGGCACACCGACTGCCAATTCTCCTGAAACACCCGCTGGATGCAATACCATCTTCAAAATCCCTATGGGCAGACACCTTGACGAGGGCAGCCAGGTTCCTTCCGAAATGGTGCTTCCCTTGAAAAAAAAACAACGAGACCTGGGTACTGTCGTTTGCCACTCCGCGCGTCGGTTGAACCGAGCGCGACGTGATCAACAACATTCTTGCAGTCGCTGTAGCAAATTGACGGGGCATCCGCATACGCTCCGCAGAAAGCGAACGCGGCAAATACAGCAGCTTGGCGGGTCTGAGGCCAAGGATCCCAAACGAGGCCTTTCAAGACATATGGGAGCTCGCCATCATTCCCCACCATCGTCACTGCCCAGCCCGCTCGAGACAACTCACGCACTACGTGCCTGTGACAAGAGCCATCAATAAAACGATATCCCCACATGCTGTCCCCAGGAGCCACCCTCTCAGCACCACGCGAGGGAGCAGGAGGAGGGAGGCCCTCGGCCAACCACGCGAGGGAGGCACCACCTTCACATAACGGACGCGGAGCATAGTCCCCAGGATGGCGGAAGGCCCCATACAGGAACAGCTCTTCTTCACACTCAGGACCGGTTGTGCCATTGGCAGCCTCAAGCAGCCACGGCGGGGGCAGCTCCTGGCGCCGCTCTACACAGGCCGCGCAGCGAAACAGACAGCGGCACATCGCGTCGCCCTCGGCCCCGCACAATGTGCAGAGGCCTGACGCGTCATAGCCTGCAGCGGCTGCGTCGTCACCTGTCCAGAGTGCGCGGCAGGCCTGGGCCCTAATGATCCCCATGGCCTCGGGGGGAACCTTGGACGAAACGAGCATCTGTTTGACGACGCCCCAACGCGACCTGCACCCCGCCCCGCACTTGCCACCTGGGCCCCTCTCAAAGTTCCGGAGCACCGCCTCGCGACGCAGCGCCTCGATCAGACGGGGGGGGGGCGTCGCGGCCAACGTCACCCCTAAAAGTAACAAAATCGGGCACCGTCCAGCCCGAGCGGTAGATGCACATGTGGAGAGCCGACAGAGGCCCGCGCACATTCGCCCACGAATGGTTGTCGTGGCCGAGGGCTTGCATCCAGCCCTCACGCAGCTCGGCCCAAAACAGACCCCCACATTTGACGCAGCCGTGTTTCTTTCGACTACATACTGCTGGGGGCCACGCTCGCGCGCCACCACGGGCCCTCCGCGCGCAAGCTGAGAACGGCCAGCGAGCGCCCCTGAGAGCGCGGCTTGACGCGCGACACCGCGGCGCGCCGCAAGTCCAGGAGCCCCCTGTCAGACACCCCTAACACATCGGAACCGTAGGTTCCCCCCGCCAGGTGCCCCGAGGCAAACGCTTCCAGGCTGCGTCTGCCGAGAACGGCCCCCGAGCTTTTGAGCCCCCTGGTCTTGCGCAGCACGGTCGCCGAACGAGCTTTGAGCTTGGCCGCGCGGCCGCGGCCAGGCGCGCGAATAGAACGGCCAGCAGCGATATCAACCCCGAGGTTCGCCACTCTTCCAATGCCCACCTCAGGCCCAGCAAGAGGCCGAGCCATGAGAACCCAAGAGATATGGAGCGGCAGGATGCCCGTGGCCTCCATGACACAGAACCAATGGGCGAGGCAGTGAAGTGCCTCGTCGCAGAGCAGCGCGAAGTGGCGGCCGTGGAAGCCATCCACACTCACAGCACTGGAGAGGCGGTACTCTTTCGAAAGAGTTCGCAGCTCAGACGGATCCAAGACAGGCAGGGGCTTGCGGGGGGAATCATCAACGCCGAGCCCCTCCCCAGCCCCCCAAATGGACGCGAACTTGTCGGCCTCGGCCCTCAAGAGAGACATGGGGCCGGCCGCAACAATGCCGCCAGCCGTGAGAGTAGTGCTGGGGGTCCAGGGCTCAGGGTCTTTGATCGCACGCTGGGCATTGCGATCACCTTTGTCCAAACCTTCACGAACCCAGTCCTGCCAAGCCGCCTTGGCCTTGGCAGAGGCCGCCGCCTTAGCATTCAAACAGGCTTGATCGACCACGTCGAGCAAGGCGCCCAGATCCGAGCGAATGTCGGCCAGCGCCGCAGGAATCGAACTGCCACCAAGATCGCAATGAAACCCATCGTCGCTCGGCCGTCCTGAAGCACCACAGGTGCGCAAGCCTCCAACGCCTTCGACTGGCGCAGAGTGCGTCCTGAGACCGTGGAAATCGAAACCGCGGGAGGCAGAACACGGGGGCGAAAGAGATCCTCCAGGCAGCGGGAAGCGAAACCGGCACTAGCCTGGAACACCCGGTGCCAGTCCGAGTCGGCCTGCACAGCGACTTCGCCTGGAACGCGAACAACGTCGAGCGCGACGTTTCGACCAGCAGAAGAAAGAACCGCACCATCACATAACATGTAGCTCCTGCGCGCCCTCAACTGCGCAGCAAGCCACGTGATGGACCTAAGGCGTGGGTCCTTAACCTTGCCAGCTGGTTTCAAGGCCGACTTCCAGATCAGCTTGGGGCGCTTGCCCCTCATGCCATGGGCAGGGAGGTCGGCCCCGAGGACCCAGTCCAGATCGGCCTCGGCCGAGTTGGCCGAAAGGCGGTACCCAAGGGTGGGCAAACCCCTAGCCCTGCCCACATCCCCAGGCAGGACAGCCTCGTAGGCCGACTCAGCCGTAGCCAAAGCCCGAGACCAATCCCCAGGGCAAGGCTAAGGCCCAACAGGAAGCACAGCAGGGGGGTCGGGGGGACGGCGGGAAGCGGGAACTGTCAAAGAGCCCAGACAAGGGTGGAATCTGACAGCAACAGGCTTGTGAGGCGACAGATCCGATTCATTGACAACCCTAACCTGCTGCTAATAGCGCCCCGGGGCTTCGGAAACAACGAAAAAGCCAAAGGAATCTGGAGCACCTCCTCCAGAGGGGAAGTGCGCGTGCCCCGCCGCTGGGACAATGGCTCCTCTGGGAAGCTCCGCGAAGTTGGTCTCAAACAGGACCCCAGGGGGGGCAACTTGAAATCCCCCGCAACGACAAACTCAAGCCACTGGGTTTCCAAGAAAACACCAACGGCCCTCAGGATGTCCAGATTGGCGTCCGACAGTCCTTGGGGGTGGAACAGGCAGACAGACGCGATGGCGACGGGCGAGCAGCCAGGCACGTGGATCAGAGTGGCCACGGCTCGACCTTCGGCACGGACAACTTCAAATGTCTCGCAGCACCCCAGACCGTCTCGAACAACCACCATGACTCCAGATGAGACTCCGCCGCCTTCACCGAGCACTCCAGGCGCCCAGACAGTCTCAAAGCCACTATGCTTGCATATGTGTGATTTATGAGTAAGCCGAAGTTCTTGACCGATAATCATGCGCGCCGAAGTAGATTCCAAGAACTTGTAGAGCGCCCCCCCAAGAGTTCCCGATAATAGTGGTTATCTCAAGCTGGATGTCCGAAGGCCCACTGGGGACAGGCAAGGGCACGGGCCTCGGGGGCCCCGCGTCGCGGGGGCCAGGGGCAACGCCTACCTCGCAAAGGGCAAAGGGGGGCAACCCGAGACGTGGACTCGGGAGCGGCGGCTCTGAAAACAGACAGGAAACGTTAAACCAAAGTCTGATCCCAGGGATCCTGGACTTCGAACCAACGGGCGAGGTTCGAGACGCAACGAACAAACTGGACGAACGGTCGAACGAGTCATGGCGCTGAGATAAATGAAGCCCCCCCCCCTCAAGCAAAGTGCGGCGGTGGTGGCGGCGTGTGTGTGTGTGTGCGTGTGTGTGCCTTTGCATTCATTTCACTCCTCTGGCGCAATTCTCAGCATGCGCAGTGATTTTAGGTTTGAGATTTCTCTCTGACAGTAGCTCGGAACCTGTATGCTCTATGTCGTTTCTTTTGGTCTAATGTCTCGGGCTGTCTGCGTTGGGTAATCCGCGCGTCGCCGTTTTCGGGGCTCTTGGGATCCTGCTGGAGTGCCAGCGCAGGCTCTCTGTCTTCCTCTTCCTCTCCCTCCTGCTTGTTCTCTTCCTCGCCTTCGTCCTCCTGCCTCTTGGCCGTGGCCCTGCTCCCTCCCCCCCTCGCCTGTGCCTCCTGGTCGAGATCCTACCAGATAGCTGCCGTCTGGTTTTCACTCTGGCAGCCTTTATGCTCAAAGCCTCCGAGCGGGGGGGGGGGGTGGACCTCGCTCAGGGCTTAAAGGCCGCAAATACGCATTGGCTCCTCGCTCGACTGTGCCTGTAGCAAGATACGGAAAGATTCACGACATCCTCTTTCTCATTTGTTGCTTCTGTGTTTGGTTGCCTACGCCTATCGGCGATTGAGGCTTCGCCTCTCCTGGCACTCAACGGTGGTGACGTCTTGGGGAGCTGGTCTGCGGGGGCCTGGTTATATTGCCAACAACAACTCATCCACGTGTGACGCGGGGAGTGTGGAGCGCCGACCCTACGAGACAGTGTGTACCGCATCCCGCCTACATAATCCATATACACATATATCTTCATCCTTCCGACGTGCCGATGGAACAGTTACTTTTAGACCGAGGACTGGCATTGAGAGTTGGCGAATTTGCCAGCTCAGACAACAGATGGCTGAATCAAATATCTACGGCCAATATCACCACATGGCGGACACGCAGAATATACCACGAGACGACCAGGGCTATGTATATGACTCTTCAAGAACTGCAGCAGGCCCACGCCGACTTCCAGTCCACCCAGTGGTATCAAGATCAAATTCAACACGGGTTGGAATATGGCCACTGGTTGCCCGACATGTAACTTCTTTGGTGGCAAAATGTACCTGCCTTCTGATGGAGGCGATCCTTGCCATACTTGCCATACTTGCCATACTTCGCCCCCGCTTCCCGCTTCGACCATTCCTCATTTTCGTTTGTATACGTGGCTGTGCAGGTACTCTCCAGAGTGAATGTGATGAATATCCCCGTGTTCATATGGACACGCGTCAGTCTCTTACGGCACTACCTGGACCCCAGATCCTCCCCGCAGTGATGCAGGAACTTCGGGCGACGGTTGGATGGTCCACCAAGATCTCCATCTACAACGACCTTCGGGGTCAACAACGATATGGTGATGTGACGGCTATGGTCTTGGCTTCAGGTCTATGGCAGATTCTCGTTTCGGCTCCATCCTCTCGGTATATAAGCTATGTGCATCTTGTTCAGAAGGAGCTCGTTGAGCTCCTCCCACGGCCAGGCGTAAGCCCATGCATCTCGACAGTGGTCACAGCCCTCACGGTAACTCTAACATTGTGTCGTATTAGAGCTCCTCTCACAGGCGGCCGCAAGGCGCGGCAGCAGGCCCGCAAGTTGCTCCACAACCTTCCCCCGCGCCTGATCTCAGCCTTTGATCGGAGAAGGTGACGCCACTTTGCTGCATGTGTTGGAACTGCTTATCTTTGTATATCTGCAGGCTAAGTGTATTTCAGATCCTACGCCGAGGTCCACGGGACACGACTCGGGCTCCCTCAGCTTTGTGCACCAACTTGGTTCCGACAGTCTCTATGTGGGCCAAGGCGCCATGGTACGGCACTCAAGTGGGCACTCTGGTGGAGTTGGGCGCTTCCGTGAGCACCTACAGGGCCTCCGCTGTATCTCCAATGGGACCCCAACTAAGGAGCGCAGTCGGTACCTCCTGCTGGCCTCTGGGTGCTCCTCATGGCTCCTGATGCTCTTCCTTGCGGTTGTACCCTCCTCCCAAGCCCACGCCCAGGAGAGTGCGTGTATTGCGTACTCGCGACCTGCCGCTGACAATTTGAGTAATCCCCATAGTGGGCGTCTGCGGGCCAGGTACAGGGAGACCCCCAGAAGGCGCAGACACCGAACCAGTAGGCGTCAGGCTCTACCTCGTTGTGAAGCTCAAACTGTGCTTAGCCAATCTTGGTATGATCGACGAATGGCGTCTCTCTGCACTAGGTATATGGGCTTCTCTAGGTACCTTGCTGGCCGATATAGGTGGCAACATTTTCTCCAACACAAATACGGCGATCTCTATGACCGCCTCCTCCAGCAGTGGACTCTGCAGGGTCTAGGTTACGGACCCCTCAACATCTCGGGAACGGGTCTGACAGTTCTTATGATGAAATGGATCTCTGTGCAGCCCCACGCTATCCCTTGGGAGTACATCTGTCGGGGCCGACAGCATGGTTCCGACTTTCTGTATCATGTGTGGGAGTTCACAACTCTGTATCCCCATTGGATGGATCGGATAAGGGTTCGATCGCCTTTGAAGGCCTACCTCAACAGTCTGCGACTGCCCGCCCCTGTGCCGACGGTGATCAAAGTTTCTCACAGCTCGGAGGTGGCGGCTGCGCGTGGCTGGCTGGCCAACACGGCCCAGCAAGCCCGACCCACCAGGCCGGCCTGGGCCACGTGGGCCGCCAAGTCAGCGCGGATTTTGGTCCAGACGGCGCCGTGCATTCGAGGAGGTATGTGCGACATCGCTCGCACGTTTCGTACTTTGCGGTTTGACCAGCTTGCCTCTCTCACTTTAGATGACTTCAATCGCGCCGCCCGAGGCGACGACATGGAACGAATCCCTGTGAACGGCCGTATTCCCCTTCTCACTCCAACCTCCTCAAGCGCCCGCACGAAGGATACCCGAGCCTTGTGCAATAAATGGCTAGCCCCTCAAGGCCTGGATAGGACCCGGTATGCCCCATATCGACAGCCTCCACGGCCCACGCCTGAAGGACCCCAAGAAGAAGGACCCTACCGACACCTGACAGCAGCACTAAGTAAGTTCGAGGAAAGGGCCTCTAAGGCTCGCCAGGCTTGCACGTTTACGGTGGAAGACAAAGATCCGAACACTCTGTGGCAAGTCTCTGGGATATATCATCTGGCTCGGTGGTTAGCTATGGTCTCTCGGGCTCCTACACGGTGGAGGGTAATCAATGCCCCTGCGATGGCTGTGGTCTCTTGGTACCGTTTACTGTATGAGTACACCATTCCCAAGAGCATGCGATCACCTGGGGAGGGCCATATAAACCAATCCCATATCCCGTACATATACCCAACGGTCAAGCTGAAGTGCTGGTGTGGTGATTTTCAGACCCCACCCGACGGCCGACATCGTTGCTCCAAGCCACAGCACAGCTGCTTTCGTAACATATGCAGCTTTGTGTGTTTACCATCCCGTGCGCTATACCGATCGGTCAGCCGTGCATTTACTTTCCTCTCCAACCAGTTCAATCCAGGATGGTCCTTTCTCTCTCTCGACACGGCTGTACCCAGTGTGCTGGACCAATACTGTCATCTGGTCTCGGCGCCGACAGTGGTTCCGCCTTTGTGCAGAGGCTGTTTGCAGCCGATGCGGCTCCCTGGCGTCCTGGTTGGGGACGCAGGCCAGGCATATGAAGCGATCGATGTGGCGCGAATCCTTGACTGCCTGGACAGACTGTTCTCAAAAGTTGAGGCCCATCGGTGTATCACTGTTCTCCGAACACAACGCTCCCACGCCTACTTTGGAGGTCATATCGATCAACGCCTGCGGGACCGCACGGTCTGAGTGGTGCGCAGCCTTCGGAGAGCTTTGGAAGGATTATTTGGCATTCCGGTTATTCTTGGTAGGTGGGCTCGTGGTGCAACAGCTCCAAGGGATCCCCATAGGTGGCCCCCTCAGTGGCTCTATTCTGCACGCGGTCCTCAGTGACCTAGAGTATCAGA